CTGATTGGAAAGGGCACACACTTGTGTTTTGCAAATTCACACACATCACAATGAAAATATTCAACACTCAATCCTTTAAACAAGGAGGGAAACATAGTTTTCAGAATTCCAAAAGATGGATRTCCTAGTCTAAAGTGATGAAGCCAAATGGCCAGGCCTCCAAGTTGATCGAATTTGCTTTTCCTGTAAACCATTTGCTTTTCACAGATGATCTAATTTTATTACTAGAAGCTGATTTGGAAAATATCAACACCTTAAAAGGAATAATGAAATGCTTTGAGATGGTGTTGGACAAGTTAATTTTTCCAAAAGTAGCATTGTGGGAATAAACACAAGTGAGAGCCTGATGATTAGCCTTAAAGAAGCTTTAGGATGCAAAGTGGAAAAGTTCCCTATCTCTTATTTGGGAATGCCTCTTGGAGGAAATCCAAGAGCTCTACATTTCTTGGACCCAGTGGTAGAGAAGTGATTGTGGTTGATTTTTCCTCATTCAACCAGATGTAAACTGTTCCTGTGAGATAATTATTTTCATAGCACTTTTATCATGTAAACATAAATTTGCAAATACATTATGGAATTTCATCCAAAAACTGATAATAACTTCCACAGTTCCACCTCAGAAATGTAACTATTTTACAACTAGAGTAATTTTGTGTCTATTGTACATTTACTTAGATATGCTATTTGAGTGAATGATCATGTGACGTTGGGAATTGGATAAACAGGTTGGTTACTACTTTGCACCAAGTGGAAAACCGTATCCTGATAACTGGATCATGACTGATGTTATTTACGAGATTGAAGGAACTCTGATCTCAAGGCAAGCATTATCAAACTAAATAAGTATCCACAATAGTAGTTACCAAATATGTTTTGGCATTTTTATTTTGTTACCATTAATTTTTCATTTTTGCCCTTTCTTGATCAAGGAATACATTTATTTTCTTTAATTTCAGGTGAAAAGAGAAGTTGGTTCAGGTCTTTCTTTAAGTTAATGATGAATGAAATACCAGAATCTAGCTCTGGTTCAAAATTTTGCTTCTTGCTGATCGTTTTTTTTTACCACTATCCATTATCTAAATCCTAATATACATGTGCAACTTGGTGTCAAAGCAAGGTTCAATCAGAGAGGAATTGTTGGACTCATAGATGTCTTGGTTGTTAAACCTTGTGCTATGTTAGATACTAATAATTTAAGGAGAAACGTATTCATGTTGGGCTAATGAACCTGAATTCTTTTACTGAGACCACAGTAAAAATATACATTGCAAACAATCAATTATTCCCTTTAGTTAGTATGCTAATAAATGGCATCTTAAATTCCCTAAAAAGAAGGCAAGAAATAACTTGAGGAGTGTTGAGAATGCTTAGACAGGGGTATTTTGAGCCCTTTCCTCTTCTCTTGTACTCTCTCTGTATTTGGGTGCCCAAGTAGGGGCTTCCTTGTAATTTACTCTTTTCCAAAATATAAAGAACTTTTGAGGGTGTGAATAGTAACTAACACACACCTCTCGATACATCTCTCTTTTTCTTCTCTCCTCTTCTTTTCTCTCTTCTAAACCCTAGATTTATAACTCTTGTTCACCAACTTGGTATCAGAGCCAGGTTAAAGGCACTTAGGAGTACCTCTCCTGCTAATCCTCTCCCACGAGGTGAACTGCTGATGCCGGACCGTCGCTGGATGACATCAGCGGTCCTTACAGGTGTTGGTGGCAATCAATGAATCTTACAAGGTTTGATTCGCCTTGATTTTAGAGGATTTTTGGTATGACTCTTGTCCCTGTTCAAAGCTTCTATGATCTTTAGTGGTTTTTTTTTTCATGGAGAAAATTGTAGAAATTCCTGATCTGATGTTGAGCCTTGTACATCATGTTTAATGACTTCTTTTGCTGTAAAACCTAGACCATTCAGGTTGTTTTACACTTTGGGAATGACGAGAAGTGGTCCTATAATTTTCTAAGCCCTGTATAATTTGGGGATATTTTCTTCTCCCTCTATTTTGCTGCCAATCTAGTTTTTTGGCCTCTTTGTGTCTCTTAACCGTGTGGTGACCTTGGTTCTTGGATCTAGATGTAAATCAGTCCTCAAATATTAGGTGTAAATTTGAAGATTAGAAGAAAAAGGAAGAAGAGAAGTAAGAGCAGCAACACAAGAGAAGAAGATGGCGAAAAGAGAAGGAAGAAGAAGAAGAATCGAATTGTCTTCACTTTCTCCTCTAATCCTTTTTTTTATTAAGAATTAAAGTTAGAGTAATGACAA